AAATTATGGTTCTCTACGGAGAACTCGATAAATCTGCATATTGACTTAGACCCGGTCTACCAGCAACTGCGAAAAAAAGAATTTAAGGCGGGTCTAAAAGAGACGGCGATCGAATTGCGAACTAGGCATGGTCACAGGAAGTGAATCAAAGATGGCCAAGTTCCAACAACACACTCTTGTCGGCCAATTTTGTTTAGTACGCGTTGATGAAGTTACCTCGATTGGTAATGAAACGTTCGTAACGAAATAGTTGAGCTAGGAGAACAGACCTAAACCTGAACAGCCAACCCGAGCTACAAGTAATCCGTTTTATGGAAGGAAGTGTTGATGACTACTCGGAGAAGCTCATACACTGTCCCTCAATCTTTCGAATGGTTGCGAAGCAATTTAGACAAACTGAAGCGGAAGTTTGAGCTGCGGCAGTTTGTCGCAGTATGTGATAATACACCAAGTCACACGTCTGAAACAACTTTCGTCCATAGAAGGATACGAAGGGGTAACAATTCTGAGATTGAGCCCATACTCCCGTTCCTCAATCCTATCGAAAATGTTTGGTAGATGGCGAAGGCCCGAGTGAAGAGTGAGATGAGAATGCACTTCGGTGAATTTCTGACTGGGTATCGCCAGAAACTCATGACGCAGATAGAATGAAGGTCGCAGTTTCTTAAACGCATTACCAGAGCAGCAACTAGTGACATCAGTGTTGTGGAATGTCATAATGCAATACGACATATCTTTGTAAACGTTCATAATTGGTTAGAAAAATGACATATTTTGAATACACTGCTGGCTCATTTTTTGTCTGATGGCAAATCCCATATCAGTGGGAGCGAGTAGGGACACGTGCTGATTCAAAGTCTAGGGAAAATATGCATGCACGTACGTGAAGTTATGCATTCTTATGGGGGCTGAAGCGATATCTGATGTCTAGCACAAGGCAGTGACACAGAACCGGCTTCCAGTGTGCCATGTTCGAATGATATTTTCAGCTATGATCCATTTCGTGCCGGTGTCCGTCACGCCTTACTCGTTCCTGATCAACCTTAGATATTGTAGATAGGGTTTCCCTATTCGGAAACCTAGGATAGATGGAAAGCGAATTGCCAAAATACTGAGAGCTATGTACACTCCGAAAGTAAAAGCATTAGCAAATCCACGAATTCACCACAAATAAGTGAGTTCGAACCCAGTATCAAACTGAACAAAACGCTCTCTGATTCTATGACCATAAAGGGTACACATTACATTGTGCGGAAAATAGGCAGGTTATCGTAGGATCAAATGCGTCTGCTGGGTGTAGTAACCATCAGATATATCCTAGTAGTGGACATCGGCGTGGATGGTTGAATAGGATGGAATGGGAAACGACTGCGCACGTCATTTCAGCCTTTTCCACGGGTGTGAGGAACTGATGGATATGCAGATTTGAGTTCGCAAACGCGTTTTCTTTGCTAAACAAGATTTCCTCACGGAAACTGACCGACTGTCTTGCTTAGGAGAATGACACAGAACCTATGCTTCCTGATTCGTATAATATACCATCAGGTATACACTTTCCGTCCTCACGCCTGTGCAGTAAAACTAGTTAGGCCAGGCATCCACCCTTTTCGATTTCATCAGTGAATCTCAATGAAGGATGCATTGAGTTAAACTGATCGAGTAGGCTGACGTAATCAGTTGATGAGGCGCAGACAATAAATGCATCACTGATATAATTGAAGTAAGGATGAAATGATGAGTGAAGTTCCTCAAGTGTCATCCTTCGAGCTTTACACCTATGGCACAAGTTACCTTGGACACACCACCAGGTACGTATTCAGGCGGAGTGCTGAACGCTGTGCAGCGTCACTGCAAAAACGCATGGTGAAAAACATCTACAGTTCCTTTCTGCAACGCCGGGTTGCAACTGGTCATTAAATTCGGATGAATGAGTCCTTTAAAGTCGTCTATAACATCCTTAGACGCTACCCAAATAAGTTTAAGAAACATCTATTGTTCAGCGCAGAAGCCAACGCAATCAGGGTGTTTAAACTAGAGCTGTGTAAACAGCGGACTCTGTCACAAGCTTTGAGTTTGCCTTGGCTGGGACCTCGCTCCATCATTACTTAACCGGTGTTGCTCACGTGTGTTTATGTATACTGCCTGATCCGTTTGAATAAGCCATTGATTGATTTTACTCACCGCTATTATTTCTTCTATGTTTATATATCGCACAAGTGGGCCTCCTGCCACCAAGCGAGCACCATCTTGGGAGTAGTTTTGGCGTCAGTAGAAGCCGACCAGACAATGGAGACAGACTACTGACTCTTCGTTCGGATCATCGCTTGTTTCTTTCCAGAACAAGTTTTTGTCATTCGAAAAGACAAACTACTACTTGGCGTCCACCTTCTCAACACAAGAATGGTCCCAGCTTGACCGCATAGCAATAAGCTACAGACGGCGCGGCAGCGTAACAGACTGCAGATCGTACTGGTCAACTTGTCTGGACCCCGATTACGCAGTGGTACACGCCAAAATTTGCATGCGTTTCTGAGGATCATCCAGACGTACGCACTACCGAGTGAACGTCAAAAATCTGCAACATCCTGCGACGTTAGCCAAGTACCAGGCTTCTTTGTCAACACTACTTGCTTCATCCTCTGACGATGGTCGCAATTCGCAATGGATGCGAATCAAAGACGCTTTAATTTCTGCCCGTATTTTCAGTTGTGGATTTGCTTGGCACCCGCCGAAAAAATGGATCACCACTGCCTCATTGTCGGTGATGGACAGAGGCCGCTTGATCCTAGGCGACACCGGTTGTAGTGAGGAACGCCGCTCCCTGGATCGAGCGTTGCGCAGGAGCTTACAGAAGGAACGTGAGGCCTGGTGGTGTGAACATACTAGTGTGCTTGAATTTGCTAATGTCTCTGGTAATGCCATAAAATTATTCCACCTCATCCAAATCACCGAAGGCTTCAGATCAGGAGTAAGCGAAACAGTCAACAAAGATGATGGCTTCCTACTCACGAATCTTCAACGACGGTTGGAGCGATGGGCCAAACATTTTCCCTCGCAGTTTTCCTGGCCTCCAGCTCTATCTGTTTCTCTTGGGGCGCGCACTGATGATAAATGCACTATCCCAACTGATCCGCTCTCTCATTAGGAAATCTGGCTGGAACTCTGCCTCATAAAGCGTTCTGAAACACCCGGCCCTGATGGTCTACCTCCTGCTCTATTTAGTGATGGGGGCTGTTCACTGGTTCGAGAACGCACCGCTTTGTCCACAGAAGTCTGGGCAAAAGAGGAGATTCCATCATTCTGGAGTGAGTCGATAATCGTCCCCATCTTAAAAGGGGTCTGCGCGCAAATTACTCCAATTACAAGGGTATAAGTTTGATTCCGTCAGATTCTGGAACTCCGCCATTTGTATCAAATTCAAAGATTGATGTGTTCCTGGATATCCGTGCTGCCTTTGATTCTGTCGACAGGGCTGCATTGTGGCACTGTCTGCTGTGGAATGGTATTTCCGGGAAATTTAGTTCCATTCTGCGTGCTCTGTGTAGTCTGACCTCAGGTAGAGCTAGGGCTTATGGCAAGCTTTCACCTTCCTTTGTTGTTACCAGTGGGGTTCGACAAAGATGCCCTATCACTCCATTCCTCTTCAACTTTACATTGAGGATGTCCTCAAAAATGCTCTAGTAGACTTGTTGTAGGCCGGCGTTGATCTTCTCCCAGGTAGTTGGGTAGTTGATTTGGATTACGCTGATGATATCCTTTTGATGGTTGAAGGTCCGCAGGCCGTCCAACTTGCACTTAACCGCCTGGCGACTAAAGGGTCGAAGTATGGCATGTGCTTTTCACCATCCAAGTGCAATGCACTTTTTCAAGACTGGTATGCGCCCTACCTGCACTCACCATCGATGGGGAAACGTTAGGAGTGGTACAGAATTCTGTCTACCTGGGAAGCTGCATAACTGCTGGTGGGGCTGTTGGAAACGAGATTTAGATGCGTATCTCAAGAGCACGTGTGGCCTTCTCCAGGCTGATGCATTTATGGTGCCGCCGTGACTTTTGTCTCTCCATCAAAGGACGGGTTTACAGTGCCACTGTCCGCGCTGTACTGTTGTACGGTTGCGAGATTTGGCCTGCTCGTACCGAAGACCTATGTCGACTGTCTGTCTTCGAGAACCGTTATTTGCGGTCCATGGCCCGTGTGTGGTGCCTGAACCACGTAGCCAACGCTGAACTCAGACAGCGTGTCTTGGGTGGAGACAGCCACTCACTCGAGGCGCTTGTCTCGCTGCGCCAACTACGATGGCTCGAACACTCACTGCGTATGCCCATTCAGCGTCTTCCGCGTCGTGTCTTGTTCGTGGTCACTGGACAGGGCTGGAGGAGGCGGTGGGGTGGACAGCCTACAACTTGGAGAAGTAAGATGAAAGGTTGAGAAAGCAACTGGCCACGGTTGGTTCCTCCCGACTCCTTGGATGGAGTCTTAAGGATGCTGAGTGTAGTTGGTTGGAAACCTTGGAATTCATTGCTCGAAACCGAACTCAGTGGCCGGCGTGTATCTCTGCTTGTTGCAGTGATTCCCCCTCCCTCCCCTAAGATAAAAACATCAAAATATTCAAAAACTGGGAGTGAAAAAGCGGACAAAAATTGCATGTTTTCTTCCTTCTTTTACTCTAACACTGTTTTCCTATTCCGTCATGGTCCCGATGGCACAATATCTGTACACAGAGTGGGATCAATATATATATATATATATATATATATATATATATATATATATATATATATGTATGAGAAGGATTTCAAGAGATTATTTACGTCTTAATCTTGCTTTATAATTGTGGCTGCCTGAACTGCTTTATCGAAAAGAATATTGCTAATTTCCGACTCTATGGAAATAATTTATGTATGAAAGTGCCATACTGTTTGCACTGTGGTATTGTCATGGTATCGTTTTAATGACTGCGGAACAACGCAGCGACAGGGATGTGGTAAACAAAATGCTTCCAGTATATCGATGGTCGGTTTTATTAAAAGTCGTGTATAATCAGTAAGCTAAATCCAGCTCATGGATAGGGCGCGGGGTACAAAACCGGCGCTAATCGGACGACCGCGTGTTTGACGTGATGAAAGAGAACATGCAATTTAACCAGGTGGATGGATCAGGTTGTTTTACTCAAAGGATAGGGGTTGCGTAATTTGTGGTTGTTACCCATCTAGTCAGGCTTCCATAAGATTGATGGACTTTTCACTGAGTTGCAAAATTACCGTGCACTCATCCGGATGACGTGAAGCCACGTCAGTTGGTCGTTTGTTAAACTCTTCCGCCGCATTCGGTTCGCCTGGCAAGTGAGCCGTTCGGCATGCAGCGACGTACATGTCATAGTAATCGATGTCCTCCACATAGAGCGGACACACAGAGTCTGGACACTTCAGAATGCCATCCAGTAACCACATAATTCCATCCTTCGCCGGTAAGTTCCATTTGACGACCCTGGGCTGAAATCAAGCAACGTTGGGAGAAGCATTTGGGTATAGCTTCAATGTAGGTTTGAGTATTATCCCGATAGGTATTTAGTGTGCCACAACAAATGTTTACATTTTCAGATGTACCGTTATTTCATTCAGAAACGAGTACGGCGAATGTAATACGGTGGTACAATTTCCCTGAAAAGCATCTCCATTCTGCAATTTGGTTAATCGCTCTGATGTGACATAGTGCATATTCACAAGGAATAATGGCAAGGTCCCTTTTAGCACCATCAGTTATTCCAGCACCCATTTCCGAACGCTTACACTCATCGGGTGTCATTTTCTGTACTTAAGCAGTAAAAGATAAACATAAAATTAAATAGCAGAAAACGTGGCTACAAATGAACAAAGAGCCGTTTGCGCAACAAAATTCTCGCCTGTAAATATTGTGTTATGTTTTACTCACTGTGCGCTGGTCGGACATGAGTGTCAATAGTACTTCGCTTGCTGTACAATCCACCACATATCTAAGAACTGAACGGATCAGCCAAGTCCAATAAGTGATTGCATTGACGAACCGTAACGTACAACTGGAGCAACTGGTTCTTTATTTGTGAACTCCAATGAGCCGGTTCTCAGTGCGCAGCTTCTGGAGCAGCGAAAGATGTTCTATTCGTCCCGCATCTGCTAGCGACGATTAACTGCATCAGTCAGCAACATTCGGAGGTGATAAGATCACTGGTCCCCACCACCCACACAAAATCCATCGCACCGGTCATCAGAGCAAGCTTCGCAAAAAACAAATTCACCAAAGGAAAGTGCGTGCCAATATGCAATAATACACACCCGATTAGCGATGTGATCATCATTGTTGCTCTCTGGGGGACGCTGATTGCGTTAGATCTTATATATGTATATCCGCCGCCCGTGGTCATTAACATTTGTGGACTTAACCCCGGAAGATTGCAGCAGCAACCGAATTTGCTTTCGGTGACTCATTTCCGGACAGCTGTTGCTTAACTTTTCATCTATGCAGTTACTAATAGTCTTGAGTGTTTATCCCCTACGCAGGGTGCCTATCTATCGTACATTATATTTTAGCTACGTGGATGCGGCAAGCAAGACCCCATCCATATACCCACAATTAGTGCGAAGACGAAAGACCAGATGCAAGAAGCTAGTTGGATTTGCGCTTGTTCTGTAAGTGCCGATCCACATTAGCAGGCAGGCATCTTTAATGGCGAGGACAAACGCCCTGCATGATCTTCTTCAGCACCAATCGAACCATCCAAGGGTTGTTGGGTGCGCTGCCACTGTAGAGTATAAAGGCTGCTTGGAGCGGACTGAAATATATAGTCCCAAGCTGCTGATATGCTTTCCTTGTGTTAACCTCTTGAATCCATGTTTATTACGCTACACGGTAACAAACCACGAAATTCACTTAGTGGAACGACGAACCGTGAATCCTACATGCTTCAATCATTGGAATAAACCTAATATGCCTTCTTTCTGACAAATTAATTTTACCTTTGTGTAATTAGTTAAAATATAGTTCTTGTGGAACGGGGTCGCAACCGGCAGCTTTCATCCCCAAGGTGCTAACAACAGAGATTATGTGGCTTCGGGTTAGTTGTGCTTGGTGAAACTACCCATTTTATGACATGAGGAAAACTTTGCTAAACGCCCTGACATAATGTTTTCTAAAACTGACCCAATATGGAGTAATTTCACATGTTTTAACGCCTCACCCATTGTTCTTGAGGCATTCCATCATGACCGATCCGCATCACTCCTTCGGAATCCTGCCAAAATGTTAGCTCCACTCCAGCAGATGACATGAACTTCTGAACTGAGTCGTTCTTGAAGTAACCGATGTCACCACCCCATAGATAAATTGGCACATGGTGCAAGAGCAGGAACTGAAAGAGAGATCATCAGTAAGTGACGGCACTACACGTAAATGTAGCACTTACGCTCTCCAATGCTTCACCTCTAAACATCGTGTACTCTGGCCTAAACTGACCAACGCTGTCGGGTTTTGCGCGCGGGTCTTTCCATCCGTCGTCGGTGGTGACTAAGTACAAGTTCTTGGGTGCATTTGCACTAAAATGTTTTTCGTCCATGTTGACCTCCACCGTCTTTTGGTTTGTTATGCTGCAAAAGAATTGTCATTTTTGTTGAAGGTAAACTGTCATTACACTGAGCATCGTTTTGGTGTAGTTCAACGTTGATGTGCCGAACTTACGTTGTGTCTTGTCGTTCAGCCAAGATTTGGCTAATGTTCTGTTCCGGGGGTACGTTGATTCGAGGTGTCAAATAAAGTGAGACCCCATCCGCCTGTAGAGACCGCATGTCAATAACGGGAGAGTAGTGAAAGTGCAGCTGAAACAAGGCGGAGTGAAGGATTGCAATGCGATTAATTAGTGAGAGGAAGTACAACAATAAGCAAAACGAGTGATAGCTAAACAAATAGGGGATAGGTAGAAATTCGTCACATCTAGACTCACTCAGACAGCCGCCACACGCCCAGAAAAGCACTGTACGCGATTTCATCATTTCGGGAATCATCAGCAGTGCACATCCCATCGGACCCTTGGTAGGGCTCGAACCCGCAACTCGACTGTTGCCAGTCAGTGGTTGAGACCACTGAGCTACGGGGGACGGCAACGACCATCGTGAATAACTTACTAGATGTGATATAGCGCCGCTCGCTATCCACTGACTTACACGTTACTGGCGTGCAGAGGACAGGGTAGCCCCTTCACCAAGCGACGAGGTTACCAAACTTAAGCCGCCAATTATCTTATGGCATTATAAGCAGTTTGGTCTGCGTACTGATTACAGACGATGGGACGAATTTCTACCTATACCATTCAACTCCCCCTACTACTCTTCTGTAAATAGGGGATACTTGATGCCAATTTGTGTTTTGTGAAATGTGTGCATATCTAGCGCTTCTATTATTGGGCTAATTTCATAGTGTTGGCACTGACGGGGCTACCTACAGGTAAAATATGCTCAGCATCAGCACCGTGGTCCTGACGCCTAGACAAGTAACTTTACCCTAAACATAACATCCTACATGCTCTTCCGGTTGTGCGGCCTGATGCCCGCATATGGAGGAGGTGATGGGGGAGAACGATCCGGTTCACATCCGAAGTACTGAAAAGGTGGTGGATCTGTAACAACCGCAATTGGATTGCCTGAAAATAGCATAGTTCACGGTGTTGTCAAATATGTTGTTTGTTAAATGTTAGCTGAACGCGGTGGAACACCGTTTTCTCATCCTATCATCCTATTTGGAATGATGCATCTTCTGGACTGCTTCATTTCATGGGATGAAAACAAAGTCGTAGAAGAAATTGATTCGAGCACAAAGCCCAGAGTATGTTCTGTCGTGTTGTAGACAGCGCACTAACCGAGCTACTAGATCCCCCACTACAGAAGACTGTTTTGAGGAATTACCGTCAACTTAGACATTCTCCGCTAAACTGAAACAACTTCCTACTGAGTAATTACATTTGGAACGAATCCCACGGATGTACTAAAGGATTTAAGCATGTATCTTTTGCCAAAACTATGGTGGGCATCCTGCGATGGAGCTAAGTATGAGTAAAGTGAACAGGTTTTGGGTAAAGTGGCGTACGCTCTGTATTAGCTACTAAACCGTAGCACGCACACTGTGCATCAATATGAAGGTACTATTCCGGTTTCAGAACCCACTGCTTCAAAATTTGCTGCGTATGAAGTCGCTCATTTTCACAGTATCGCACCCTACTTCTGGTGTTCGTACTCCGTTAATAAGACTTATCGGAGCCAAAAGTTCTTCCTTCACATCAGTTTTGCGTAATGTCAAGCCACTGTATAGTTCAACCAAATCGACCATTGAGTTGCAACTAAGAATATCAAAAGACGAGGGTTGTGGCTTGAAAGTGTCATTTCGCGTTTTCTCTTCGGCCAGGTACATATAAATACCAACGGGACCAAAATAAGGTTACATGCAATCGGTAGGTGGTCAACTGTGTGTCGATTGATGCGTTACGCGCTACCGTAGCAGGCCTTGTGTCACTGTCAGCTATTTTTGAACACATATGGTGGTCACCGTCGATCGATGACAACGGCCTCAAGGAGCTTGAGAATGTGTGGACTTTGATTGAATTTTGTTCGAATCCAATGTATGGCTTGATTGATAATGCGAATTAACATACATCGTCCTTCACTAGGCTTTTCATCGGAAAGTGTCTTGTTGTCTCACTGCCTCACGAACGACGACACAAATACCAACTCTCAGAGAATCAGGTTCGGGAAGAGTAGTGAGAATGAGCGGAGCATCGTGGAAGATCCTTCCTGTGCATAATTGACCCCAATGCATATATCCTCCAGCGTACTCAGCAGCCGATATACGAGGGGTTTACAAAAAGCAGTTGAACATTTGATATAAAATCCTTATTGCACACTGCACAAGATTTTAAGCACGTTCCCCTTCAGTTAGTCTCCACTACTGGCTATACACCGTTCCCAACGGCGCTTCAATTTTTGGAAAGTTTTTTGGAAAGCATTTTCTGGGATGGCGCGCAGTTCTCGTGTCGCACTGTTCCGAATCACCTCAATGGTTTGGAAATGTTCTTCTTTTTAGGTGGTTTTAGGCTTGAGAAACAGGAAAATGTATGCAGGAGCTAGATTCGGAGAATCCGGTGAATGAAGCACAACGGGAGTGTGATGTTTTGTCTTATATCTGCGGAAAATGAGCTATACCTGAGCTGGCGTATTGACATGACGCAACATCCTAGTCTGCTTTACCTGCGCACAGCATTCCTCAAACGTGCTAGAAATTGATGGCTTGATCCTACGCGGATGCCCACTTCATCAGGAACCTCTCGAACAGTTAATCGACTAGTTCCACGAATCACAGCCCGAACTCTCGCCATATGGTCATTGTCCGTTGATGTGGAAGGTCGTCCGGGCTTGGGATCGTCACTGATCGACATTCTGCCGTGTTGAAAACACTTCAGCCAATTATGGCACTGCTTGCGACTCATACCGTCCTCCCCGTATGCTTGGCTAAGCAGCTGAAATGTCTCGGTTAAAGTTTTGCCACCTTTGTAGCAAAATTGCACACACACGGTGTTCTTCAAGCTCTTTCATTGTCCCTTTGGCACTAATCCGACAAACAGCTTGTGCACGTGCTCACTTCAGCATCTGTAGCTCACCAACTAACAGTCAGATCGAAATGCGGCAAATGGCCTCCACATGCGCAGAGTAGCCGCAGCGCACTCCCTCTGCCGGTTGGCGAGCGATTGCACAAGTTCGGTTTTTTTTGAACACCCCTCTTATTACACTAGCTTGAAAATGCGATCAAGCATCATGCTAGTTTAAGCTTAACTGGAAACGCCGCATATGACCGCCCGTTTGCGGTCGGTGCCTAGCGAAGCATTTGACGTCGCAGTAAGCATCGCGACTCCCATACAAAGCAGCAGGCAGCGCTGCCAGTGATGAGCTGCTGGCCGGTTTCTCTTTTCATTACGCAGTGTTTGACGACATCATTCACTTACCACTAAGGATGTATCTCCGGAGAAAATAATGTTGTTCCATTACCAACGCACGTAGTTATTCACTAACTTTAAGACTAGCCGTTAGCCGGCCCATTAGCTGCTGCGTTGGATGATGTTCGCTGGGGATTGCAAACCAACAACCCTCAACCTTAACATGCGCCTGGATCTGGGGTCCGTTTGTGTACCGATTGGTTTTTACTCTGCATCGACTACTTCGGGAAGCATTCAGAGTCCATCACACTTTTCCTTTAAATTCCCAACACTATCCGCATGAGACACGAGGGTTAGCTGTCAAGTCTACTTTGTATGCCGTGCATAGTCCGGAATGTCTACAGTCTAACACACGAAAGTAACACTTGTAATCAGGTTATACTACAACTCCCTTATGTCAGTCAGTTCCGATAGAAAGTGCTATTGGAAGTCGAGGATAGATGAGGATATAAGATGGTTAGACATGATCCAGATACCCCTCCCACTAAAAGTATTAGATACGCTGCCTCACCTGTGACCCATAGAAGGTTTTCGTAAAATAGGTGGTTTCGTAGAGGTAATCGTCCTTGTTGTTTGTTCGGTGACCCATGGTGTGACTAGCAAAGTCGTTCACACTATCCAGTTGCTCGTTGGATCGCATGACTTGATATCGAGCCACTCGACATCGGTATTCATTGTCAACCTGGAAGCGTTTGTACTCCTCTTTGAATTGTTCATAAGTGGACCACCCTTAAAAACAATGTGAGTGGATGTGTGTATTGAGTTTTGAATGAGCGTCTCTTAGTACGCAATAACCCAATATATGAACTCACACTGAAAGGCTTCATCTCTAGGCAACAGAACCGCATAGCGCATTTCGGGATCCATATGTAAGTCACATTCTTTGAACAATTGGGCAAATTCGGTAACTTTCAAATGCGCCGCGCATCTTTCATTCTCCACAATATCTTTTAGTGTTAGAGCTGAAGGAAGAGAGAGGAAGAGAGAGCAGTTTGGGTAACACATTATAAACGCAGCTCACTGACGCTAATAGGACTGCACTCCTACCAGTAATCCTGTGTGTTTGGCCGTTGTCACAAAGAGTGGATGGTGACCTAATCACTAAGTCGTGGCCTCGTAACTACAGTCACAGCAGTAGTTGCCATCATTTTAATGAAAATCGCCTGTCAGCTTAAGAAAAGCATCAGCAGTATGCCGGTACGCAGTAAGGACCCTTTACTGCCGCACCACTACCAACAGTCGCACATGGGCTAAGGATACTGCGACGGCCGAACCCGAGCTCTCAGATTATGTGGCGGGCTTGTGATCCTTAATGCTACGAACCCATCTGTCAGCTAGGCCAAAATTGACTAAGGGAGGTTCAACACAGCCAGTTAGCTTGTAAATCATGACGGTCCGAAGCTGTCCCCCGTGGCCCAGTGGCATAAGCTGCTGACTGGCGGTTCAAGCCGCCGGTGATCATGGGTTCGAATTCTGAGGGATCCGATGGGTGCGCACTACTGACGATGCCTACCAAGCTGAAACTGCTGTCTAGTGCTTTTCCGGGCATGTGGACGACTATCTAATTCGGAAATTGGCTATGATGAACGTCCCTTAATTACATCAAAATCCCCTACTCATGAGTACATCAAAATTGATTGCCAGTCTGAGAATATATAGGCCTAAGACAACGACACCTGATAGGCTGCTCGAGTGCCCTTCTTCCACAGGCGAGGAGAGCATGTGCAAACGGTGTCACAGATGGGCGCGTTTTCTCTACCCCTAATAGACACGCGATGCTAAAGGGAGCCTTGTTCTTGCCCTCGAGGTTATTGCGTGAAGCACATGCGTGAATCTCTAGCCATTTCACTTATTGGTACTAGTTGCGCTGCTCCTGGTCGAGTGAATCTTTTTCGGTGGAAGGGGGGGGGTTGCCCAGTTGGACGGGCTACAACAGACAAGGAACACTTATGTAATCTGCACGCTACAAAATGTGAGCGCTGAAGTCGACGGGAGACGGTTAGGCGGAAAATGGCTTGCTTCCAACCTAAATAGCCGATTACCCAGGAAACAGGTGCATGCACCGGGATCCGACGTAAGGGGAGTGCATCTACTGGGTACTTTACAGACTCACCTGTGAGTGCACATAAGTTCTTAGACCATGGTCACCCAATCGCTGGGCTGCTCGGTGCAGACCGGAACGGAAGACCGATTACGGAAAAGAACAACTTTGTCCCCGTGTCCATGTGGGACGAGTGCAACGAAGTGAAGCTAAGGCTGTACGGCGCAACGCACTTCGGTGTTTCACGTGGTTCGCTAATGCAGCAATATTTAATCTATACCGAATTCAAGGTATTAGGTGGCGGATAGCTCCCGGAGAATCAACATCGCCCACTTGGTCTACAGTCCAAGGCTGTTGAATCGGGCATGTACGTTGGAGACTCTCATTCTCGACCCATGTTTTGTTCGTAGCAGTGTTACTACTGAGGGGCTGCCTTCAACCGTATGTGGTAGCATAGCGCTTCATGTCTACTCATAACAGCGGCCGTTGCCGTAGTTGTAGAGTCATCCGGTCGAGGCGCGCATCAGTGCGTCGCACCAACGGGATAGTCTCCCTTCCTTGTTACATAGCCATTCTTTCGCAGATGCACATGCATCTTACCGAATGGCGAGTCAGTAAATGTAAACTCCGAGAAACCAACTACATCGTGGAATGTAACACCCCAGAGCCTTTCACTGTTGGGACATCCGACGGCTACGACTTTCGGAGACGGAACCTCTGCATCAGCAGAGCTGCAAGAATGTAACTTTACTAACCACAAATATCAAAGTCCCTCCATTGGAGGCATAGGTGTCTTACCCTAATCACATGCTCATGCGTAGACAAAATTACCGTTCTCCAAACTTAAGCCGTCAAGTAACTTATGGCATTATAAGCAGTTTAGTTTGCGTACTGTTGACTAAAGAGTAATAGGGAAGTTGAATGTTATAGGTAGAAATTCATCAGATTCAGACTCACTCAGACAGCCGTCAGACGCCCGGACTAGCGCTGTACGCGGTTTCATCCTTTCGTGACCCGTCAGCAGTGCATATTCCATCGGACTCTGGTAGGGCTCGAACCCACAACTTGACAGCTACTAGTCAGTGGTTGAGACTACTGAGCTACAAGGGACGGCAACGACCATCGTAAATAAGTCACTAGATGTGATATAGCGCCGCTCACTATCCACTGACCTACATGTTACTGGCGTGCAGAGGACAGGGTAGCCCCTCGCCAGTGTTAGGTGCAGGTGAAACCAACCCCAAAACGGAGAGCGCGTGCTGCGATAGCGACTGACCGCTTGGGCGAGCGAAACAGTGGAATACGGTTATATAGCCTACTGATTACAGTACGCGGACGAAACCGTTTACAATGCCATAGGTTAATTGGCGGCTTAAGTTTGGTAACTTCGTCGCATGGTGAGGGACCTAAGATTGATACATCTTGGTCTGTGTTTGAGGTCGAATATTTCGGGGCAAACTGGATGCATGTGGGGTTTGTACTGACCGATATTTAGCCGTACCACTGAAGTAACCGTTACGTACAGGGTCTACTGTCGTAAAAATTGGACATCGCGTTATCGGACGAACGTACACGTGATGCACAACGGCCGCACACCTGAGCAATAACTTTTCGATGTGCCCGTATTTGTATCAAAGGTAATGTTAAAACACAATTATGGTAGGCACGCCGATAGACTGAAAACAAGCTTCCAAAGAACCACTGTAAGAAGAAAACACCACTTTCAACTAGACCTTTGACATTAGGAATAATAACGACTTGGAGAGGAGTATATTCTCACTTTTAGTATTTTGCTTCATGTTAACTGAGCCAAGTCCTACCTGGACTTTCTCTTCTCTAAATCACGTATGCTACTTAAAGATTACCCGGTTGTTTCAGCTCAGTTCAGTGCAGTTGATAAACCATGATCCGGGCACCAAAGTGCCGTGGATACAGTTTCCACGACTCGCGTCGCTGGGTTGGTAATAAGGCACAATGGTAAGTAAATGCGAGTAGACTTAAATATGGTATTAGCAGAGTGGAAGCAAGAACGAGGTGCATGAAGCTAATCACATTGAAGTGTGAACAGCTAAACGCAAGAGAACGATTGCAGGGGCAGCACTGACTCCGACAATGGGCCACATCCATTGTTTTGGGTAAGCACGAGGCCCCATCCACGAAGACGGCACGTGCCCGCCTGACCAAGTCTCGCGGTCAATTTCTTCATACACTTATACAACGTCATCGACTGAACACCTGTGGTTTCGCCCAACTTGGTGCAGCGACGGCGCATCCTGCTCGTCCAGGAAGGCGGTAAAATGGAGTGCGGAGTACATGACAATTGGGTGTGCTTTCTTTCGCCACCGTGACGATGTAGGAAGTGCTTGCCGACTGTAGTAAGCAATTTCTGTGCAGGTAGACACTTTCAACATATCCTCCCATGATGTCTAAATCCGTTTAACCCTGGGTTTATTGGATATATGTAGCATCGCTTGCTTACCGATCCATGTCAATTCGCCAAGTTTATGAAGCCTCGGTGATCCGTATTTTGCTCTGTCATGTGTGTGTTTGTGGGCTGCGACGAAGATGACGGAGATACTTGGTCCGGCAGGTACTTCAACAATCTGGGGAATAACCTTGCTCAGCCAATCGCGGTTACCCAGCCTTGGCTGAAGCAGCTGTTCACAGAAGTAAAACTGTCACCCTCTGAACGATTGCATCCACGCTAATCAACCGACGACGAAAGCCTGAAAATATATGTGTCTAGTGTCGCTGCGCGCAAGCTATAGTGAATGGCGACGTCGGTAACCACCTCAAAGATCCCTAAAAATAGCACGAACGCTACTGCAGCACAGACAAAGCCGATTAGCACAACACCGGAGAAAGAAAGTAAAAAGCAATTTATAACTGTGAATACTAAAAACAGCATAACTTGCCGAAGATAATGTTTTAATGTGTCTGAGTAGAAAGCAAACTAAATCATGAGCAAGTTATCGGACAATCAGAAACAGTGGAAACATATAAATATCACGAAATGAGAATTTCACCTAAACCGGTCAGATGGCTTCGCATTGTCCGCCACGCTAAATCAGCTTTCTATGGGGAACCAAGATTACCTCAAGTGGCACTTCATTCTGCAGACGAGGTGGAAACGGTTCTTTTGTCAGCTCATCATTTCCGTGATTCCATCAGGTCGGTATACAAGGTGAGCAATGCTGAGGTCCGCCAGTTGGTTTTGGGCTAGAAAATTTCTGGTGCCTCACTTCAGCGTCTGTTGAAGTTGAATCGCTAATGTTGGTTAGGTCATGTACTCCGCACTCCATTTTACCGCCTTCCTGGACGAGCAGGATGCGCCGTCGCTGCACCAAGTTGGGCGAAACCACAGGTGTTCAGTCGATGACGTTGTATAAGTGTATGAAGAAATTGACCGCGAGACTTGGTCAGGCGGGCACGTGCCGTCTTCGTGGATGGGGCCTCGTGCTTACCCAAAACAATGGATGTGGCCCATTGTCGGAGTCAGTGCTGCCCCTGCAATCGTTCTCTTGCGTTTAGCTGTTCACACTTCAATGTGATTAGCTTCATGCACCTCGTTCTTGCTTCCACTCTGCTAATACCATATTTAAGTCTACTCGCATTTACTTACCATTGTGCCTTATTACCAACCCAGCGACGCGAGTCGTGGAAACTGTATCCACGGCACTTTGGTGCCCGGATCATGGTTTATCAACTGCACTGAACTGAGCTGAAACAACCGGGTAATCTTTAAGTAGCATACGTGATTTAGAGAAGAGAAAGTCCAGGTAGGACTTGGCTCAGTTAACATGAAGCAAAATACTAAAAGTGAGAATATACTCCTCTCCAAGTCGTTATTATTCCTAATGTCAAAGGTCTAGTTGAAAGTGGTGTTTTCTTCTTACAGTGGTTCTTTGGAAGCTTGTTTTC